GAATCAGCATCAGAGCTTTGGCAGTGCAAACTTGCCCAACTTTCATTGTTCAAAAGGAAGGAAATAACATCTTATTTTTCTCATAGAATAAACACATTCTCAGACCTGCTCCCTGTGCTGCAGCCCACATGCACTATTATATAAAAGCAGCAACTGTGTTGGTTTTTCCTGTTCGTGTCACGGCAGCTTTGATGCGTGTTGCTCAGAAGTTAATTGCTACAGCACCCATCCTTCATCGTCTTGTGGTGCATGTTTCTATCTCAATAGTGAAAATTTTGCCACGGAAGATTTAATCTCATCTTTTTCTGGTTTTATCTTTCATAATGTATTCTGACCACAAGTCTTAAAACATAGCTCTTTCTGAAGAATTGCAGCAGAGTTTGGTGGAATTTTAGAAAGTTTACAGATGTGCCTCTGGGATTTGCTGAGGTTTTGTGCTTAATAATTTAAGTATTGTTATTTCTGAAGATTTGATAGAACTTAAGCTAGAGGCCCCTGGAATCATCTGATCTGACCTGCATATGAATCATAAACCAGTAACTTGCATGTAGTTATTCTTAAATTGAGCCTAAATAATCATGCCGGACTGAAGCCTGAAGACGTTTGGCTGGAGCAATCTTCTAGAAAGGGAAAAACATAAAAATAATTTTGATTCCTTGGGTGTGGAGCTTCAGTGCATAATTGTCCTCCCTTTTTTTTCCATCCAAGTTCATAATTAAGATCTTTCTGCTTTCATTTTCCACTGGTTTTGCTATCTTATATGCTATATTAGAGAGAGCTTTCAGTACTTTTTCTTCTCCCTCTCTGAAGGTACATGTGAACTACAGATGTCTCCTAGTTTTTATTTTTTGTCAGCTAAATGGCTTGAACTCAGACTCATTTCAAGGTATTTTCTGCAGTCCTCCACTCGTTCTTGTAGCTCTCTTCTCTGGTCATCTGGACTTTATTCTTATCCTTTTAAGAAGCACAAACTGAGTCTGTATTCAGTATTTTTGGTCTCAGTAATGCCTTTTAAGATCTTATTTTGAGATTTAAAATCTTGCCTGGGCTTTAGCTCAAGTCTGAAACTGAACTGTTTTACAGTTTGCTTCTTTTTATGGCCATATTTGAATACAGCCACTGTGGCTTTTGGAACTAAGTTTCTCACAGTGTACAGGGTGAATCTCATTGTGATCCTCTGATGGTTGTCTTAAACTTCAGCACAGTTATGTACCAAATTGTTATATGCAAAATCTATTTCTCTTCTTGGGGAGAGAGTGAATTTATTTTGATGTGATAAATCAGAACGTCCATTATAATAGCTGTTATTCTGACATGCTACTAAGCAAGGAAGAAAGCCCTAAGTATATTTGCATCTATTTGTAATTCTGGTCTTGACCAAATCCTCCAAAATTGTGTGAATTCTGTTAGGCACGTGATCTCTTAGCTGAAGTGTACGTGAGGCTGACTTTGCTTTGGCTAACCAAAAATTAGGTTTGATTTAAATATACATCTATATAGATATAGCTATATGTATGTGTACGTATACACATATTTGTAGACACGTCTCTTTGTTTCCTAATCCGAGAATACAAAACCCCTGAAATTTTCATGGAGCATCACACTGTTTAGGGGTTTACAGAATGGGATTTATATTTTGCATAACTAACAGTCCTTTAGAACCAATATAAAAGAAAACCTGATCTCTGAACTATGAAAACATATAGGAAAATATTCTACATCTGTTTAAGTGGAAAGAACATCTACAGTAAAAGATCTTTTATTTGGACTGTCTGTGACTTTTTCTTAAAGGCTGATTTGAGTGCTGGGTAGCTGTTGGAAGAAGAACCCACCTTAAATCTTTGTAAGGCTGTGATGAGTCACAGAGCAGACTGCTAGCAATGGAGAAAATTTTTGTTGAGATTTCAGTAACTGAAATTCTGGTTCTTAATTTCCTCTCTTTCGAATAGTATAGTATTGCTTGTGAGAGTTTAAATCCCTTTTTAACTTTGACTATTCCATTACAAAATGAGTAAACCTTTCATATTGTGGCTGTTTTTCATAATGTTTTTCAAATACTAGGAAGAACTACTGATAACTCTAAAGCTGTATGAATATATTATTCTTTAGAATGGCAGTAACCTTTTGATGGATAATGCCCTTTGGTGATGCGTTAAATAGCTTCAGATATGTGTCTATCATTTGATCTATTTCTTCTGTAGCATGGTTTCTAGTGACAGAATCTGTTGCCAGATTCAAAACGGCATTTGATTTCAAGTTGTACAATAAATTAAGACATCTAAGATCAACCAGAGACTGAAATCTAACTCAAGTGTTGTGAAACTTCATCTGTTCTAATGGTCCTGTATGCCTGCAGCGGTGGCATGGAGTGGTGTGGTCTCACGGGTGGCCTGTGGGGTGCTCCAATTTGCCAAATGCTTTTCCCTGGAGGAGCTGGGAGTGATTTGGAGTTGCAGGTACACACCAAATGGATAGAGCTTTCTTCTGCCTGCCAGCCCACGAGACCTATGCTGTTCTTCAAATGGAAATGAGGAGCCAGCCTCTCTGAGCAGCACTTGTCTTCTTCTGGCCACCTTGTGCTGGGTAACCTGTCCTGGCAGGCTTTGCTGCTCCCAATACCCATGTTCTCTGATTTTTGTGCAGGTGATTTGAGAAAAACAGATGGATGTATTTGATGGCTGCTGTTACTGAGGAGGATGTGAGAGAAGGGATGTGGAAAGAAAAGGACTCACAGTGTTTTGTGGGGTTCATTGGTAGGAAGGAGCCATGGCCGCTGCCTGGCAGCGGGTGGCTTCCTCTCTCAAGACGGTTCAAAATCCCTGGTCTGGCCTCTGCAGCTGCTGAGGTTGGATCTTGCTGGCCGCCTTTCGACTCCCATTGGAAGAATAACAGTTTATCCGAGAGCCAATGCTTTTCGGTAGTTCATGCTTTTTTTCAGAAAGACTTTTTTAAAGTCCCCTCTTGGTTTACTGCTTCTGCATAATAACCTTTTATAACACAGGAATCTTCAACGGTTGCAACTTGACTGCAAGGTGTGGCCATTGATTTTCCTTTCTTTCCAGCCCTGCAAGCAGACTGTAAGCCTGTACTGGGTCGTTGTTATTCCCCGAGCAGATAGTCTTCCAGGCCTGAAGGAAAGGAATGTTTGCCCTAAATTTGCCTGTTTAGGGGCAGTATTTTGTAAGCTGAGTTCCATTTCATGTTGCCGGTCCTATTTTGTTGACTGAATTTGCATTGCTGTACTTCAAAAGACTTGTAGAAAAATTGTCTATAGTGGATTTTTTTTTTTAAAAAAGGGCAATTTTTGTTGATGATAATGTATTGTGCTATTAAATAAAAGAGGAAGAGGATGATAAAACAATGTGTTTTGCCATTTTAAAATGCTGGTTACTCTTTACTTAATGATTGCATCTTGAATTCAGCTTAATGCAAAAACTATCCTGAAATGGAAAATGATCTTTACCAGCACTATCTCAATGGATGATTTTTTTTCTTTATATCTAAATAAGATGCAGAAAGTAACAGGAATAATAATAATTATTATATTAATATATTATTATATTAATAATAATAGTAATAATAAGCCTGCTTTCCAACTGAGGAATTGCTCTTCTGTGTTTCTGGATTCTTCTTTGTAAGTAAGATCACATTTATTCCAGAAGTTATGTCCAGGTACCAGCAGCATGTCAGGCTGCTCACCTCATGGGCTGCAGAATGCAAGGAGATGAAAAGGAAACCAAGAGAGCATGAAGAGAAAAATACAAATAGAAAGTACATTTGTAGAGAAGTGTGTGGTCAGGAGGAAGAAGTAGGGAAGTGGAAGACCTAGTGAATTAGTAAATAAAAGGGAAAGAAGACTGTATGGTGATGGATGGTGAAGGAACAGGGAAAGCTGTAGACAGCAGAACTTGACCCCTGGACAAAAAGACTTTGTTTTGTTTTCATAAGACGTGGGGCTTAATTTCCAGTTTTGCTGAGCTTTCACAGAGATATGAAAGGGGAGTGAGAGAAATATAGAAAGCCTGGGATAATCACAGCAGATGAACATATCAGTGTTCACAGGCAGTCTTGCATAACAGCCTGCATCAAATGCAAGAGAATGCAAATCTAGAGATCAAGAAAATGTAAGACACTTAAGGTTGAGATAGCCACACTGGGAGAGCAAGAAAATGATAAAAAATGATGTGCTATTTTTAGTAGCTTGCTTTCAAGTGGATGCAGGCATATAAGATTTTTGACAAATTCATAGTGGAGTGGAATTTGGGGAAAAAAATAAATTCAGTGGATTTTAACCTTGATAGCAAAAGTAACATTTGTAAAAGTTTGTATAAGCAGTAATAGATTCAGATCTTTAACCTAGTAAATGTTTTTTAGGACTGTTTTGGTTTTGGGTTCGTTTTTGTTTTCAGAAGTTAGCACAGCAAAGAATATGTTCATCTGTGAAGTATCAGGAAAGTTCCAAGTTTTTGTAATCTTGACCATTTAAAACAGTCTGGCCTAGACTTAACTTGTTTACATCCAGCTGCAATAACTACTGCTTTTAATCACATCTAATCCTGGAAACCTATCTATCTACAGAGGGTTGCGTATTTGTTTTATAATACTTAATTCTTCTGTAATTACATATAACAAGCTACGTTCCTGTGCTTAGCAGTGGCTTTGGGGCATGGTGGGAAGAAACTGATGGTAAATGGAGAATTCCTGACTTCTTGTATACAGACTTCTCACGCTGCTTTATCTGTTTTAATCTAAAAGCAGCCCTTAGAACCAAAGTCTAATCCCAAAGCTGTGAGCCGTGTTGATGCAAGTTGTTCACATGCCAAAAAGGGCCACTTGTGTGAAGGGTAAAAAAGTGGACCTCAAGATGGATTTTGTTTTACAATATGCTGCTTAAATATGTAAACTTGGTCTTATTAAAAAGAATGAGAAAGTCTGTTTATACTGTTGGATAATCATAAATGTTTTTGTCCTATTTTTTCTTTCTTTCTTTCCAGATTTGAACATGGAATTCAACCCATCAGATCATCCACGGGCCAGTACGATATTTCTCAGTAAATCGCAAACAGATGGTAGGTTACTGAATTTATTACAGTATTTGCTATTGCAGTTACCTCTAAACCCTTTGTCAGAATGCACGTTATAGTCTTTTAATATATAATTCCCCTCCCAAAAAAGAGGCTTTTATAGACATCATGTTAGTGTTGAAAGAAGTAAAACCTTTAGTTAATTATTTTGTCAAACCAGTAGTAGAAGGTAGCGATTTGATTCTGCATTCCCATCATGTCCTGAAATTGTAAGTTCCAAGTATTCATGGTATCAGAACTACAGATATGGATAAAGCTTAATATAATTATATTTAAAAATATTTTCCTTAAATAAAAAATTTTCTGTGTAACAGTTTGTTTATTGTTTTCTTTTTAAACTCTGAACACTAGGCCAAGCTTCTGGGAAATGTGTGGGGAGTATTTTCTTGAAAAAATGCCATTTTACATTAGCGAAGAAGATAGTCTAGAGTTTCTTCCACTATAGCTGGTACTATAAGTGAGCTCAGTACTAGATTTTAATAGCAAAACAACTCCTATCCCACCCAAACATTCTTTCTTCTTTTCTTCTTATGGATTTGATATAAACATATGTTTGTCTGGAGTATTTTTTTTTAATGCATAGACAAAATGATCCCTCTGGAATTACATCTGTTAAACAAGCCTCTTGACAGTGTTAGTAGAAGAGAAGGCATTTATTCTGGCTCTTTCATTCCCTGTTGGACATGTATGACATGTTGTTTTAGAAGCAGATGAATAATCGATGCACATTATTTTCTACCAAGACTTTCAAAGCAGTTTCTACATTATAATTCCGACTGTTCAGTATGAATTCTTTGTCCTTCTTTCTGCTGCCTGTAAGTGCCGTTTCTGATTTACATAGTAAATTGCAACGTCAAACACATCACTTAAAAATAATGTGGTTTTCACTGACTGTATATTTTTTGCTAATTTTTGAGCATGACTAGAACAAAGAGGATATACATTTAGGCCCTAATCGAAGAGTTGATTATGTGAGTACCTCTTTTGCCCTTCAAATTGTCCTTCTGAATTCAGCCCTGGTTCTGTCAATGCCTTACTATGTGATTTTTGGATGTGATTTGCCATTCTGATCTGGTTTGGTAGTCTGTAAAATGAATATGATAATATTTCCATAGTACACTGTGTAATGAAGATTGATGTCTGTTTTAAAGTGGTTTTATAGTGTTCTGAGACTGTGTAATCCCATATGGATGCTACCTGTTTCTTGTTACAGCTTGTTGAAAGAAAGCACAAAAAGTATCCCAAGTCCAACAACTAAAATTTTGATCAGACTTGATGAATATTCTTTCTCGTTGTAACAGTGGTTAATTTATTGCAGTATGGAATTAACTATAAGCTTTTTTTAAAATGACAATTTACACCCATGCTAGAGTTGGTCTATGGAACTTTGTTCTAGTTTAAGTTATATGAAGAACATGTTTTTGAGTGAGAACAATGAATTTAGTGAAACAGTATAGAAACGTTATCAACAGGAGTGTAAGATCTGTTCAGCTATCCTTGATCATGATGGAAAAAATCCAAAGACTATTTTTTCTTGTACAAAAGAAAAAAGATTCTGCAAAAACTTACCTACTGATGTATTGCCAAGAACCATCCTGTTTCAGTAGGACAACTCACACTAGTAAGCATTTTGCTTGGCTGTACTTTGGGCCTGTTGTGGAACCACGTGAGCTGTGGGAGTTACCACACTGTTGAAGGATGTTGCCTAACACCAAAATGCAATAAAATTACGTGTTAAGGGTAAAATATAAGGGAGTTTTAGAGTGTGTAGTGTTGTATTCTGACAGCCTGCAGTGGAGTCTAAGGGACCCCTGAGACTTCTTAAGACAATGTAGAAGGGGAGAGCTGAGCTGGCAATGTTAAAAACACCGAACTTGAGCATGTAACTACCTCTCTCCATTACTTGTATATACTGGGCTGGCAAACCTTCCTGTTGACTGTAAGTGAAAATTTTTCTATAGATAAGACTTGCAGACATTTAAAATACACATACTGGAGAGCTGAGAGTCCTGAGTCAAGGTTTCATCCAGGATCTGGCCATGACTCTTGACTATATGTCACGTGTTTGTATAGTAGGAGATGGCCAAGTCCATCACTACGTAGAGTGACTTGGCAACGTTAACTTCAGGCAGTTCTATGTTTTGTAGCCCAGTACTCTTTCAGCCTCACTGGTAATCTTGTAGTACTGTCCTGGCATAGGAGCTGTGCTTGAGCTGCGTGTGATCAACATGTGAGTGAAGAGCAACAAGCTGACTATCTCAAATATAATGAGACAGGATGTGACATCTCTGGATATTATGTGGTCTGAATTTCCCATTGTTCTGTGAAGCTTGGATGTCATGCTAAGCATCTAAATCTGTCCTGTCCCTCTTACTTGGTAGTCTGAATGCATCCTTAATTACCTGAGAGTTCAATGAATCTGTAGAAAAGTTGAAGACACAATAAATATTAATTCAATTCCTAACTAAAGTAGCTTTTCTAAATGTTTCTAACTCTTTGTGGGAATTTTCTAGGTGCTGAATCTTATGTGAGTAATTTTCCCTGTTTAGGGAGCTAGTTATGTCTTTAACTTCTATGAGTGCTCTATGCAAGTTCTCCCTCGTTTGCTGAGTTTGGCTTGTAAGCAGGATGGTCTAGGTGACTGAAAAGCCATACACTCTTTTGCCTGTGGTTGTGGTTAAGCCAGGATTTCCAAACCTTAGCACTCCAATAATGTAACTTCCTTTCCATATAATAGCAAGAGGGCAACGGTTGCTGCTTTAAGGTGCTGGTAATGGTCTTTCCTGTAAGTGGGTTACAGCTGTCCACCTCTTCTAACTTACATTAGGCTTTACATATTCCATGTACTGGATAAATTTTGCAGTATCAGTGCAACAATGGGCTTCAGACAAAGAGGATTTTGAAATTGTATTTATATAGTGAATAGGAGCGAAGTAAGCTGCGCTTACTCTTTAATGCTAACTAGGACCAGTCTCCTGTCTTGGATAAAACAAAAAGGAACTATTTACAAACTCCCAAAATGTGAGACATTTTTATTGATGTAATCCTCAAGGATTTTGTCTTCTATCCTGATATGGGTAACATTAAGATAGTTTATAAAAATTGCAGAAAGAAAGTTTCTGTTACAGCTTAATGAAAAATACTTATGTTCGTACATATACACTCATATGCACATATATGTGTGTGTGTATCTCCTTGCTCCCTTTTGTTTCAGGGTAATATATTTTTCTACTGTTGCAAAAGTTCAACAATAACAGTTGAAAGTGCCTGCAGAAATAGGAACAGGTCATTGACCTTAAAATGAGGAAAACTAAGGCAATTTGGCAGCATCTCAGTCTCCACTTGAAGAGTTCCATTCCAACTTTCAAGTTTTAAAATGTAAGAAAGAAAGTAGATGTTTAATTGTTTAAACTGACTCTAAATCGGTTCAGCTTCATTTCGTCTAAACCCCATGCTTGAAAGCCAAACGCCTGGCGTTGCAGTTAGGAGTTTATGCTACAAAATGACTCTTAATTATAACACTACAGTCTGGTCTGCTGAAGACCATACTGTGCTGTGTGAGCAGTGCAAAGCGTCTTTAAACTGACTGAAGCCAGGTGATGGAATTACCTCTTTACAGTCATTTTAGCTTGGCAGAAGTGGCCTTTTGTCTTGTGTGATAATTGTCTTTCCCTTGTTTAAAGGGAGGGTTGTGATCACAAAAGAGAGCGGTTGTGACAAAATGAGTTCTGCTATGCCCAGTTCCCCGTCGGCATACGTTCTGGAAAGAGTTGAGCCTTATGCTATGGCAGAGGGGTCCAGATGCACAAAAGCACAGCTGTATTCTTGTAGTCCCTCACTGGAGAATCCAGGCTAGCTGAATTTCTATTACATAAGGGGAAAATAGGGGAAAGAAGGTCAACGTGGTGCTTAGAAGAATATGCAGCACAAGCAGTGCTTGAGCAGGGACAAGGAAGGGTTGTGTATAAATGAATTAATATATTCTTCTGGAGATTGGAAATAGCAAATGGGAATGAGCTGTGAGTGATATTCTTGCTTTGATAAATAGATGATTGTAGTTTCTTGGGGAATTGAATAATGGATACAAGGGAAAATACAGAAGAGGAAAACTAAGTTAGGGGGGAAAAAGGTGAATAAAATGGATTTTGTCCATGAAAACTTTGTATGTGGTACAATTGTTTGCAATTAAAACACTGTTAAATTCTTATCTGTGTTCAAAATTTCTCAGTTAATAGGTGTTAATTTTCAGTTGTGTACTCTATTAGATTTACATACAGCTTATCAGAATTGTTTACTGCCTGTTCATTGCAATATGCAATACTAAACAAGTACTTTGACTGTTCTTAGAAGTGAGTATCTACCATCATTTTGTTGTTTCCCTTTAGATTACTTATGTCTGTTGCTGGTGATAAATGCAGTGTGTGGAACTTAAGTGTAGTGCAGTGTTATAGAAGGATTTCAAGCAGTTTAACTATTTACTAGATGATCAGAATTTTCCTGCCATTCATGTTTAATTGTTGCTTATACAATGTCCATAATTGTGGATCTGAGCGTGTACTAAGTGACATGGCTAACATCTGTCATGTGTGATTCTCCTTTCTGCTCCCTGGGAGGAAAATTATGTAAGGATTTTTTAAAGTTTTTTCTTATTTTCTTTTCATTTTACGTCTTCATTAAACACAATTATTTCACAGTGTTCACACATACAGCCTTGTTTATGTGAGATTGCTTGCTTATAAAAAAATCACAAATAATGGCGTCTCATCCAACAGAGAATGGATAGGCTATCCCACCATTATGAACAGTCTTATTTTGCTAAGTGCATTGGGTTGCATAGCTTTCAATTCATGGTGCACCAAAGTGCATTTAATCACCTATGGCATGAAACCATTGTTATTTTAATCCCGCAGTTTGATTTATGTGTTAGTCGCCTCCAGGCTTGTATCCTAAATGCTGTGGTATTTTCACTGGAACAGAGCTCCACGGGCTCTCTGTGGGGTGAGTTAATTGGGAAAGTGCTTTAAAAAAATTAAACAGAGTATATTTAATGAGCTGTAATAAGCATTTGCCTGACAATTAAAACTCTATACATCTATTTCCCTTGTTGCAGTTTACTTTCTGAATATTTTGGCTAACTGTGGCTTTGACTTGCAACCCTTGCTTGCGGTGACCGGCTCATACTCACCAAAGTAATGTATTGTGTTTATATCTGACATGAGTAATAGTTTCAGGCTTGCACCTGATCATTTCAGAAGGCAGTGGTGTGACACGCATGATTTCAAGGCTCCTCTGTGGGAGTTAGTGCACAATAAGCCATGATGAGAATTCGCTAACTCCATGGTGTAGCAAATTAGGTGCTTTCATACCTGCAAGGTAGTGTAGGCCACTTTGCAGTGAGGTACCGTGCATGAAGGCACTGGTGGCTCAGGAGCACCCACGCAGAGAACCAGTGAAGGATGGCTAATCCGTTGCTAACTTGGACTGTAGCTTACTGCATATTAACTTTCCCATGCATACCAACGCCTGGTGAAGTACCCAAATGGATGAGAATTTTAATCCATCACCACACTAGTGAGCGTAAATGCCTTTATGCGTACAGATATATGTTCCTTCTGTGTTTGATATATAAATATACTTGGTTAGTGCAAAAGCAATTATAATGTCTCACATAGATAGCCTCCTGTTCTTTTTATTATAAATGGTATATAAGAAGCTTAATCAGGAAAAATAGTCATGTAATATTTCTATCATATTTTGTGTTTTTGCAGTGAGAGAAAAACGCAAGAGTCTCTATATAAACCACGTAAGTGAAAATGCCTCGCTATGCAGCTTTCTCCTTGTTGTCTGTATTATACAGTAAATAAGAGTTATCACACGATTTCCATCTTGGTGAGAGGGTGCTGATGCTTCAAATGTCTGTTCTGCATCAGGATCCAGAAGTATAGGTCTCGGCTGTTGAGATAGTGGAACAGATCTGTTGGTTTGAAGACAGTATCGTGCTTGCAACCAGTGTGTGTACATAACTGGTACCTGGGACAAAGAGCTGCACGCATTAGTATAATTTTTAAAATTATTACAAAAACTCTCAAAACTTTAAATTATATTTGTATGCAAGTTTGCTTTGGCAGAGAGCTGCAGCATTTGATATTTACACAGAAGTTCTGAAGTGCCTGACCAGTGTTGATGCAATATAAATGTGGATTAACATCCAGTACGTGCTGAGTATGAAGATGGGGTTTTGATATGCTTGTGTTCCCTGGGCACTTTTCAGTTCAGTTCTCTTCTGTCTGAATTAAATTCTTGGTGAAGCTGAGAGCAAATGCCCTGTAGCCTGCTTTGGGTGCAGGACCAGGCTCTTTGCCCCAGTTAGTATTGTTTGTACTACTGCAGAACCTGGAACCAGTGCGCTTCCCAGTATGTTAAGCCTTGTGCTGAAATATCTGGAGTCATGCCTCAGTAAAATTGAGGAGAGAAAGAACCAGTTGTCTCCCAAATGGTGTTTACCTTTAGGGTGAGATGTGGGAGAAGTTCTCAAACTTTTCTCTGTCTGCAAATATAGGCCATTGTTTCATGAATCATTTTTAAGCCAATACAGCTGCTGAAAGAAGCAGATGTGGTTTATAGCCTCTGCATCCCTTTGTGCTGGGGTGAATGTTTGTGCAGCTCCAAGTAAACTGGATCGGGCACGAATGCAGGTAGATTCAGCACAAGTAAAAGCTGAAATGGATCTGCTCCTAAATGTGATTCACTTCAGGGCTTGCACCGCAAAAAGGGAGGGAGGCAGGAATGAGCTGCTGAGCGGCGTTGAGAAGGCAGGGCTGCTTCATTTGTTGGCACAACTGGTTTGTGCTGAGTGTTTCTGAAACTACTGCCTGTCTTCAAAAGCAAGCTGAGACTTCAGTTTCCCAAGACTTAAGATTTTGAGAAGTCATGAGATCCTGTGAGGCTTATAAAAGCCTGAAATTTGGCCCCATCAGGTTAGCAGATGTTCTTGGTGCTTCTCGCCCTGTTCCCCTGTAAAAATTTCCTTTGTTTACAATGCACATGAAGGTGGTTTGCAGTGCAATTGTATTATTATAAAACTACTTGTAAAGCTAATGCACTGGGTTTCTGGAAACTTAATAAGCGTGCTCAGTAATTTCCAGCATGCTTTTTTAGCTTCAAACTTGGAGGATTCAGTGCAAAAAAATTGAGTATTTAGACACTGCAAAGCAAGGTATTAACTGAGTTTCTGTGACAGTCCCCCTTGTGTCATGGATGAAATTCTCACGTGTCCTGAATCATTTCATGTCGTGTAAAAGGGGTGCTCTGCCTTAGGCAGACTGCGAATGGACTCCTCTGGAGGAGTGAACAAAGACGACTAGACAAATGCTGCTGGAAGCACACTATTGCAAACCCTGGTATGAAATATTTTTAGGCAATGCTGGAGTTGCTGCAGAAAAGGGAAGGATGATCATATCACTGAAGAGTTTTGTTGGTGGGAGCTCAATGTAGCAGCTTATGCACTTGGTGCCCTAAGCACTATACCTCTTCTTAATTTCTTTCTTTTTTTTTTTTTTTTTTTTTTAAAGTAACATTCAAACAATTGGCTACGGTTGCAGCAATGTAAACTTCCCTCAGTAGTCTGGTTTGCTGTTACTTTAAGTCTGACTTCTTTGTACTTATAAAGTACTACTTCCGAATTATGAAGCTAAAAATAACCTTTATGAAGGTGAAATCCTTACCATGGCCTTCTCTGTATGTGTCCTTACAAGTCAGTTATTCTTTAGCCAATAATAGATGAAGCTGTATTTTCAAATGTGGCCTGTGGTATTGAGGTTCTTACTTGAGCATACCTGTGAGTATTCATTCAGCACCTCCTCAATATTCTGTCTGCTAAAGCTGACGCACAAACTGGTGATCATTTTTGAAGTGGTTGCTGTGGCCTTTAACGGGGAACCATGTTTAGGTTTGTAGACTGTAGGGAACCATTGTAATTTTCCTATACTGCCTTGTTTGGAGAAATTTGAGGAAACAGTTAAATTTAACAATTGTATGTGACAAATTATGAGTAGTATTTACATGATAAGCAAATTTATGATATACTCTATTGGTCGATCACTTCTTTTCCACCATTTTCAGTGTGTGCTAAGTGCATTTCTAACATGAGCTGTTGCTTCTCATCTGTTTCCTTGTTGATGTGAAGTTCTGGGTCCCCACATCTGCTCTGGAGAAAACAAGCCAGAGGACATAAATTTTGTTTTGTCTTCCTTTTACAACAACTCCTCACCATAATGCAGCGCTCTTCTCTTTTGTGGTTTTTCCATAACGTCATCTTTTTTCTTTTTTTTTTTTAAATAAGTCTTTTATACTTATTCTCCTTTTGTGACAAATAACCAAGATGAGCAACAAAATATTTTTAACCTTTTGTGCACTATCTTATTGGTTATTTTGCAGGCAGACTTGAACATCTCCCAAATGATCAGTGTGACTGACTAGTAAGAGACGTATCAATAAATGTGCTTTTTCTTTTTTAACTGCTTGTCTAGTTCTGCGTAGTAATAGATGAGAATAGTAGTTTATACAAATATAGTTTCAAAATGTTAAGTATGAAAAAAATTAATTTAATGAATTAGTATTGACTCCTTTTAATTTAAAAAATGAACTTTCTCGGTATGATGACACCACTGTTCTTTTCCTTTCTTGCTTCCTCTTGTTTGTAGAATATTTTAATTGACTGAATAGTTTCCTTTCATCCCCAAAGACAAATAGTGGGTTCCTGCTTTGATTTATTGCACTTTGTCAAGGGCTGGCAGTTGCCGAGTTTCAGATTTACCTTGTCAGTAGGTGTGATGGAAGAAGCCAGCAGCTGTTCTTTCTTTGGGTAGGGAAGGCAAGGGGGAAGGAATGAAAGTGAGAGTGACAGGGTGCTATGGAGAGGCCATCATCTGTCAAGTCTTCCCACGAGCCCAAGGAGATAGACCGAAGGTTGGAGATGGTGCTGGATCCTTTGCATGACTTCCAGCACCACCAGGATGCTGGAAGTTATGCATCCTCTTACCTCCTAGTTACCTACCTAGAGTGTACCTGGTGTGTTTGCTTTCTTCCAGCCTATTTTAATTTCTAAGCAGTTGCAGCAGACTCTGCTTCCCTTTCCCGTTGGACTGGCAGTTATTGTTTTTTGTTATGGCTGTAATGCTGCTGCAGTGTGCACTTGTCTTTTCTTTTAATCTGCTTAGTCAAACTGCTGAAGGGGATAAAGATGCAGACTGAGATAGAGGTGTTTCCGTTTTCAGAGAGGAGAGATTGCATCGGTATCTCTGTCTGTACAAGGAAAGCAAACAGGAAGACATGTTTTATGGGTTTTGAGGGGGTGGTGGTGGAGAAAAAGTGAATTTTTTGTTGTTGATTGCAATAGTTCTTTGTACTGGGTGATTTTTATTTTTTTTTTGCAGGAGAGAGAAAAGTTTTCTCCATCAAGTTTTTCTAGAAGTTTTCCCTTTCAGAGAAGATGAAAATGCTCTGTTTGCCAAAGTACTTTCTTCTTTTCTTGACAAGTTACGCTCTTAAAGTTGAATCTGTGTTTATAAGCTTAAATAGCCAGTAAAAATCAGGGATATTTTTTGCATATTGGAATATTTCTGAAGGAAGATAAAGGGAAGGAAAAGGGAAGGAATGTAAAGGGAAGTAGTATCTCTCTTTGTAGCAACAACTTCCTTTCAGCATCGTCTTGTTTAGGGATCTAGACATGACTTTGACTGTCTGCTACCTGACAACTGGATGTTCAAATCCCAGCAGACAAATACTGTTTTTATCATTCCAGGTAGAAAAACTGACATCTGTGTATAGACCAAAATTTTTTCAACATCCTGGGAAAAATTTCCTGGACATCATTCATGTCAGAACCCTGGTCCCTCTAAGTGACTCCGTAGAGATTCACGTAAGGGGAAGCTTCTTCCCAACGGCAGCCCTGCTGATGGGGACTAGCTGAGAACGGAGGGCTCCTTGGCTGTATGTGCTGTGGCACAAGCAATTTCTGTGAGACTTTTTGCATGCTTGAAATGAGATATGGTATTTGCTCCTGTGTAACTCCCAAATTTTCCTGTCAGAGTGGATAAAGAGGCTGTTCTACTTCCCTGTTGTAAAACTACTAGGCATGTGCCTGGTAAGCAAACACTTTCAGCTAGTGATTATAAGAGTAAATATGGTATAGTACATGCTGAAATGGGAATATAGTCTAAAAAGTGCTTTAATCCATTAAAAATGCACAACTTAAAATGTGCAATATTGTCTTTGTTAAGTGCCTGAGGCTGACTATTGTAAAGATTTATGATTGTCGTCCAAATTCCTTAAGATGTTTCAATTAACATTCCTTACTCAAAGGGAAGAACAAGATAAACTGGAAGATAGATTAGAGGCTTCTCAGGTGCTCTTGAAGCTCTCCTAGAGATTGCTTAATCTGGTCTTTGCTCCTCTCCATTGCAAGATCATAAAAAAACAGGTCTAGAGGTGAGCTTTATAGGCCATCTGGCCCATCTAGCAGATTCCTTATACTGGTGCCATTCTTAACAGATGCTGTTTAAGATGCTTTTTCAGGCTTCCAGTAAGTTAGGATCAACAAGTTTTCTTTAATGACTTAAACTTACTGTTTGAAATGGTTTTTTCTAATGTCTTTCAGCCCCTTGCTTCTTTTCCTGTCCTCTGGGGTGAAGAATTTTGCCTCTTCTATCAGCCTCAAGCCAATAAGTTACATGAAGTGGCAAACTTTTGTAGGGGGAGGAATGAAAAATAACTTTTAAGGTGGAATGAGAGGACACAAGAGAG